ACGTCCACGGTCCGACTCTGGAAATAATTATGCATACAATGGACTCAGGACAAAATGCGTTTCTATCAGTATTCCTACCATTATGACCAAGTTGCGAAAACAAGGTCAAACAACTTCTATTAATAAGAGTTGTTTACAGCTAAGTAATTTGTAAGCTCCCAAGATAGTTGTCGTGGGTTAGAATCATTTATTGGCTGAGTAATGCCGTCATCATGCTGAAGTAATGAGCTTAGGCAAAAGTTTCGGGTTAAAATTTACATAGATGAACCTTGTGTTTGTAAGACATATGGAACACCAGATCAACACTCATTAAAGTGAAATTAGAGTCCCCCAATTTGTCAATTCTCATCATGAGAATATGATGCTCATTTTCGCCACATGTTAATGGCTAGCTTTGGCTAGACGTAAGCTGTCTAATCATCATTTCATATAACCAAGACTTGTCTCCTTATTTTGGGCGAAATAATTCTTAGCTTGTTATGATGCCGAGAAAATAACCAATCAACGTCATAAGAAGGTAAGAATACCTATGCAGTAGACTCTTCTAAGTCAATTTTCAAATTAAATTAGAATACGTTTTTACATCGGTGAAAAAAGAACTAACCTGTTGAGCAGCACATTCAAGAGAGAGAGTTTTGTAAAAATCTGTGGCTGGGCCCAAATGCTTGGCATCTAAAGGAGTAGGCCTGGTGGTATCTTCCCGCGAGACCAGCTTGCCTGGCTCCACATTTGGCAGCGAGGTGTAAAAAATGCTTACACGGCCGCCAGTACCTCCCGCCAGCTTAAGGCACGTCTTTACAATAGGAAGAGTAAATAATTGAGTCATAAATAGTATCAAATCATTGCGGCTACAAGACGATGTAACCCGAAGGCATGAAAATAAAACAATATTGAGTGCTTTAGCAATAAAGTATTATAATTAGTCAATGGTGAGATTTTGATTATTCATTCTCGTGTACAGTTTCTGCTGTGCTCAGCAACTTCAGAATGTAGAACTCAGCTGCTTTTCGAAACAGGTAACTAACCATGGGCGAAAAGGGCAAGGGATTCCCCCAACATAAGAGCGATTGCCTGGACACACAAGCTTCTAACAGTCGGATCTTGATTATGTTTCATATTTTGCTTATTATGATAAATCTGCTGCTAAACGCACAAGAGACTAATGAAAGTAATATATTAGAGAATACATGGAATTAAACAAATATGGATAGAAAGTTGGGTAAAAACGAATTATTCTTGAATGTTTTAAGAAGGGAGCGTTGAACTATGGATCAAAAGAGGGCGACTTAACTGATCAGCTCAATTAGTTTTACCCATAAATTCGTTCAAACGTGCTAGTAGGCTCATAAACGGAACCACATATAAAGGATTACGCAAATCAAAGTCTTCTTTTCCTTTAGCTGAAGTTATGGCTGATGGTTTCGTACCTTGACTTGCACATGTACAGATTTACAGCTCACGAGCTCAGACATAAGTTCATGCCTACCAATTTTAGTCATGCTTTTCCTTGGATTATTAAAACGTAATGACCCAGGGATTAAATTAGGCTGTCATAAATTTGAAAAATTATGACTGGTGTTTTGTACTCTGAATTACATGCGTACATATACATATTCTCAGGTAGAGAAGTACCTAGCTTCACATAAAAAAGAACTAACCAAAGGATTAAATAATTATGTATACACCTATACACGCATATAGCTATATATTTACTGTTTTATAGTTGAGTGAACATAACATATAAGGTAAAGTCCCTAATTTTCCAGACTCAGTGTAAACCTGAAGTATTTTTAAGAATAAGTTACAGGTGACGATGCCTGCCACACAACGGACGATGACTCGGCCCATTTTCGACAAGCTAAAGGACACATAATAAATAACAAGACCACAGAACAACAGAAATTAGTATTAATTTTCTAGTAAGATCGACCTATGATTCTCTTAATCAGGCACTTCCACACAATATGAGTTGACACAACACTGCCATCTCAGGAGATTCAGCAAACCCATGTTACTCGTCTAAAAATTGTAATTTGATATTGAGTACTTCATAAAAAACGCCCAGACGATCAGAGAATATAATAAAAAAGATAAGAAGGTAATCATTGAATAATAAATAAAAAAATCAATTGTAAAACCTCATACAGATATGATATATTAACATCATCTCAGAAATGACTATTGTTGTGATGGAAATAGTAGTTCTTTGGAAAATAGTGGAAATGAGGGTATCCAGTCCTGCGTCCTCTGCCATAGTATTTGTAATTTCCACTATCCGACCATTGACTTGGTGATTTCCCAGACGTTTCGTCGGCATCGTTAGCACAAAGTTACAACGTACCAAATTGACATAGGAACAGAAAATTGGTCAAGGGGATTGCCTCTGCCTGTCATTTATAAGTTGTAACTCTGTGCTAATGATGGCGCCTCTCATTTACGATGCCGACTATGATACCGGCGAAATGCCCGATGCTAGAATTTATGAATACTAAGGTAGAGGAGGTAGGATTAGGTATCTATCAGAGGTTGCGAAAACGAGATCAGACTAATATTAGTATTCAAAGTTAAGAAGGAATCCTTAGACACATGAGTAGAAAGAAAAATAATCTTCTGAGAAAAAAATGACAAAGATGATGCAATAATATCCCTGATTCATAAAAAAAGAAGTAATAATCCGGTGAATTATGAATTCAGGGTCTTTCATTTAGCTTGTTGTAACCCTTATGTATATGAATTGTAATAAAAATTTAGTTTAATGCAATAGATCAATATATGGTGGGCAAAAGTTAAAAAAATCAAGTATCAAATATATTATTTAATAGTATAGAGTATTCAATAAAATCGTACTTCAAACACCAGGCCTGGGGAAAAAGACCAGATAGCTATAGCATCCATTTTAAAGAAGAGGATTGGCTCCATCAGCGTTAATAATCATCTTGAATTAGTTTTCGTAAGAGTTCCGTGACTTGGCCCCATTAAATTATGCATTCACTTTTTATTAACCTTGCTTTATGATAACACACTTATTAGGAACACTCGATTACTGGTCCCTAGCTAATGCTAATTATGGTCTAGAAGTAAATGAGTATAATATACCGTTTATGGTTTCCTTATTATGCGTGTATTCAGTTTAAAACCAAATATACTGGTTATGATGGGTTAAAGCGGAGCTCCAAAATACATTATGCATAGAAGTATGTGATTTTATAAAAAACAAGACTTACCTGAATCGCAAAACCAAGGCAATTTCCTGTATCATAAGTATTAGCGAATACTCTTGGTAGGCGTTGAAGAAATTCTCTGATTGCCTCTTCATTACCCTCAATGCGGTTAATAAGGCCTTCGTTGCAAGGGAGAAAGACTTCTTCTAAGTCTCGGCATATTAGCATTTGCATTGATCCGCCTAATGAGGAAAGGATGTAGAGGTATTTAGAAGGATAAAGGCTCGTATATAAACTAAAAGAATGAATAAAGGGAAGAAGGGCTAGACAAGAAGTGTATGTGTAAATCACAGGCAAAAAAAACGCACATTAAAAATTACCAGCTCGATAAAGTGTAACAAAATAGTCCTATCACACTATTCACCAAAATAAAGTCATGTTTAGGAAGCATACATATTTACTAGATCCAGGCCAGAAGGTATAAGTATGAAGATCAGTTAAAAAGTGAATAAGAATCATTATACCACAAATATTGTACACTTGTAGGGTCCTAATAAAAACTTACCAAAAAGTTTGTAAAAGTGTAGCCCTGAGTCGAAGGTAATAAAGGCAATCTGTCGTCGACTGTCGCCCGGAATGCGGTCGAGTTGGGCCGATATTCGATCGCAAGCTAGGTTCAGGTAGCCAGTAGAGATGGCAGCTACATTGACTTCAAAACAGAAGACGTAAAAGGCTGGAATTGGGGGCCGGAGCATGTATTCTTGGGGTGCAATGAACTCTACGGTAGCAGAGCGGATCTCAGGTCGTCGCGCTGGATCACCATATGACTGGGATGCTGGGTCATAAAAGAAATCATCAGGTACGGAGTTAGTCAAGTGGCAGACGGGGCAACGCCAGCGACGGCCCGAGTCAATGAATTGAACGAAGGGGTTTATGTAGGTTCGACAGGAACGGCACCTAACAATCACGTTCGAGTTTATCATATGAAGGGAAGATAGATCTCGAAATGGATGCATGAGAAGGCCAAGAGGGAGGCGGCATCGTGAAAGCAGCTTATGAGTGGATGGAACGTTAGTCAGAGTACAGCGGATAAGATCGAGATCACAATTAACCTGAAGAAAAATTGTGCGTATAGAGGAAGATCATGTAATGATTATTGAATTATTCGTAAGTAATTAAATGGCACATCTAATAATGGATATTGGTCTT